GTGTGTGTGTGTGTGTGTGTGTGTGTGTGTGTGTGTGTGTGTGTGTGCATGCAGTAAGCCTGTTTTGTTCACACTACACAACTTGCTTTCTTGCACTTGGGAGTCTTGTGGTCATTGTGGTTTTGACACTACAAGACTGACCAGCGACATGTGGACAAACACTGCAATATCTTTCAGCAGGAGGAATCCCTGATGAGTATGTCATGGTCTCCAAAATACATTTAGCCACAACCCGTGTCTTGCGCTCTCATTGGCTGTAGCGCCACGACAGACTACCCTTTAGCTAGAACGTTGCATGTGTTACTGTATGCTTAAGTGTTGGTCAGAAAAACAAACATTTTTGTAAAACGTGGTCAGTATGTGCTTATGAAAGTTTAAATCTCTTGTTTTCCCCTTCTTTCAGTGGGTGAACAGTCCCATTGGCACGGATGGGCACTCAGGGTCGTGGCCTGCACACTGATCACTCACTTAGTAACTACTTAAATGGGGGCCGAATGAATATTACATGCACACACCGTGTTTCAAACTTGTTGACTTTCTCGGCGGACTATTTTCAGACCCTTTTAGCGACTTTCTGCTCGAGTAAACTCTGACAGAGTCTCTCCCTCCCTCTCCTCTCTCCCCCCCTCTCGTCTCTTACCGTGCTCACACAGGCAGGAGTGAGTTACTAAGGGCTTCGGTGTTGCCAGGTCACTTTGCCGAGGCTTCACCCTAAACGTTTTTCTGTGTAAGCCCGAATTAAATTGTATAATGTGAGCCAATTGTGAAGCCTGTCAAAATAAATGCAGGTCTCTAAATGACCTGTGTGTCTGGTGGTCAGCCCTGAGGGAAAACAGGTCACAGTGGGAGGAGTAGAGGGGAAATGGTAGAGCGTAATTGACATGCAGATATAATAATGTAATAATGAAATGCATGAACACACAAATTTACATCAAATTCCACCCCTGGAGACAAAGTGGACTGCTGGTTTCGTAGATTCGTTCAGTTGAGAACACACCTGTACTGTTTCCTGGTGTCGTATCTCCCTGCGTTTGTCTCTCGAATTTTAGTGGCCAACACTCGTACGATGTTCACAAACAAGATGAAGTTGAGCTGAAACAGAAGAACAGAGACGGAAAAGCTCTTCATTTATGCAGTCCATGTCAGTGTTCTTACTTCCTGTTACTATAATTGATATATCTGTAAAATAAATAATGTTTACTTGTTAATGGCTGAAAGATAAATAATAATTATATGTCTACATTTAATTAAGAAAAACATTTTTTACAAAGTTTACAAATACAGAGCTATAGCTGAGCTGTGAATACTTGATACATTATATCTAGTTTCATCTATTCCACACAAATTCAATTTTAGTCCATTCAGATATGCTGTAGGTCTGTAAGCATCCTCTAGTTAAATAAAAACAAGAGTCTACAGCTACGCTAGCGGCTCTGTAAAGTTGTACACAACAGGGCCTTGAGCAAAATTCTCATGCCAGCCTGCTAATATGCCAACATGTTAAATGACATTTGGTCATTGGAATAAAATTGTCAGCAACACTAGTCTGAAAGTGGTTATGAAACAGAAAAACAGTGCCGATGTGAAAGAGCTGTGTTGACTAGCTAATTATACACAGCAGGGATTACTTATGATTTCAGTCACCGAACTCCATGATTCCTTGCCACTCCAATCAGAGGAAATGCATCATTTAATACAAATCTTAGCAGTAAAAGTGGACTGTCAGCCAGGGAGCAAGAGTTCTGCTCACTGGTCTGGTCACTAATTGATTGAGACATAAAGAGAGTTCAATCATTACGGTGATTTCATACGGTGTGGCTTTTTTCCAAAGTCTCAGTTTGTTGTTGAAACAGATGATAACAGCACAGTCCAGAAAAGCTGTTAAAGGGTTATGTTTTGTAGATTATAACCTCTTTTTTATTGATAACTACACTTTTAAAATGTAACTGGTGCCAGAGGATCTGCTGGACTGATTTCTGGACAAAAGCTACTAAAAGGTGAAATCCTTTGCATATTCATCCTCATACACAGGTTTACAAACAAAGTGGCAAAGCAGTGATGGGAGTGTGTCTACGTCTGTCTTCGGCCTGGATTTGTCTGTATGGAAAGTTAATCAGCAAAGTTCATCACAATTCAACCTAAAGGGAAACATGAATGTCTGAACCAACCCGTGAGTCAGAAGGATCCATCCTCTGGGACCAAAGATGTCTGTACAAATATTTCATGGCAGTTAAAGTAATTTGAGATATTTCAGTCTGGACCAAAGACCGACTGAGCGAGACCGATATTGCCATTCATAGATCCTGTGTTGTTTAATGAGTTAAGGTATTACAGCTCTGTCGGTTATTAGAAGCCCATTTCTCACCAACATTTTTGCAAGGATGCAGACATAATAACTTTCCTGAAGTAAAGATTTCTCAAATATATATTGACCTATTAGAAGTGATTATAATGAATTCACTGCATTAGAGCATGAGGGTTGTTGGAGACCTACAACATAGCATGTGGTCTTATTTCTGCAGGTTGACACTTTCTGTAGCCTCAATAGAATCGGTTACAGCGAGCAGCGCACTAGTCCTGATGAAGAAATGCTGTCTCATTAAAATCTGCAGGACAACTCAAGGCAGTACATGTCAACAAAATAGTGTAATCTTTTTTAGTGGTTTCATTGTGGTGTCTTCACAGCGAGACGCTGCATGAACAAAACAAACTGCCTCTATCTTCTCTTTCCTTAATTTGTGCTTTCATGGCAGGCTGCAATGCTCAAAGACTCCCCAGCCAGTAGAGGAGTTGTGCACATTATAAATGATAAAAGACAGAGCGAGACTGTGAATCCTTATTGATTTGCATGATATTCATTTGCAACAAATACTGTTGTTTCACGACACAAAGCTAATTTGAATTAGAGAAAGATCAAGAAAAGGATGAGAAAAGCACTTTCTACATAATGAATATTAGTCATTCACTTGCTGCTCCTCTGTTTATAGAATAACCCAGACATCATTAAAAACATGCTGTCTTAGACTTAATTGTGCTCAGATGTTTGCTTTAGTTTGTTCCAACTTGTTTTGGAGCCTGTAGGCGTTGATTATTTAGGAATTGGTTCTTACCTACACATACAATACATCCAAGTTTTCTTTAACTTAAAGTGAGTCTGGTCAGTTGGCTGTTATACCCATTTTATGTTGTGCATCATTTGGATTTATACCCTAACTCAAACACACGCACACAAAATGCCTTACTTCATGCCTTAGTACATTTCTTGACAACTTCTCAAGCTACAATCACACATAGCGATAGCAACTTCAAACTGTATTTCACGCCCACACTCTTACCCCGATGGCTGTCAGAATGGGAACCTGGTAGATCCACTTTATGTTACCAGCACTTAACTCCCAACACCTGCAATTAACACAAGTACAGAGAAAAAGGAAGGAGAGGATGACGTTAGAAAAGCAGGAGAAATAAGAATGCAGTTGGTATTATTCAAAAGACACATGCAGAGAGTACACATGTTGCACCAAATAAATGATTAAGGTCAGTGGGAAAGAGAAAAAGGGAGGTTAGATATTCAATTTTGAAGTAAGGAGTTATTCATATTGTCCCAACCAAAGAGGGTGTGTGGAAAAACAGACAGATAGATAGTAGCCAGGCCCTAAAGCATACTCACAAGGACAGATGCAGGAGATCATTCCTGCCCGCTGCAATAAGACTGTACAATAAATCACCTCTGGCTATAACACTACTACACTGTTGTTTGTTTGCTGTTGGTTAATCTTTGCACTACTGTTTACTTTATTTAGTTAATTAATTTAATAATATACTATTTCATTGTATATACTGTGCATTTTTATACTTAATATTTTTATTTTTTACTCTATTACTTCAATTGCTGTAACGAACAAATTTCCCCTTGCGGGATGAATAAAGTATCTATCTATCTATCTATCTATCTATCTATGGTCAATTTGACTCTAAATGAACATCATGCTGTATTGAAGAAGACTTGAAACTAGCGATTGAGACCATAAACTGAGAAGTATGTTTACTAAGAAGTATGGTCTTTTTCTCACTTCTATGCACACAGAATTGTTTTTTAGTCGCCCTCCGATGGCCACTAGAGAGAATGCAAGTTTAAAGCACTTCCGCATTGGCTTCACTTTTCAGAACCGGAGGTTTCCGCCTGGTTTTAATGTCATAATTTGCCTTGTAGTAGAGTCAGATTGTCTACTCTTTTCTCTTATTTACATTATCTCTTCATACATTACATCAAATATATTTCTATATACATACTGGTGTGACTATTCGGTACTATTGCAATGCTCGTTCAGAACTCGCCTGTTCAGAATGGCCTGTTTCTTGGATCCTGAGCAACACACCGGCTGTGACATAGTTGCATTCCCTAACAATGCAGCGAGAGCAAGCTGTACCCAACGTGCGGCTCGGCAGTGTAACATATTAATATTGTTATTAACACATATTAATATTGTAGTGAGCTCTTGTTACATTCAGTTTCCGGTTATCCACAGACAGCACAATTCAAAATGAAAGCAAACATCTCCGCCCAGTGTGATGCATGCAAAATCTCTGAAGAATAGAGACACAATTCAATAAGATCTTGCTGCCCCTCATCTGTTTCATGTGAAACAAGCTCCATTTCACACTTTTTTTTGTAGTCAACCATCCAAGTTAGTTTCCATCGCAACCTTCACTATCATGTACTACTTATTGAGCAGAAGGAAGAAAGGGTGGGTGTGTTATGAGGACAAACAGCTATCTTTTGTTTATTTGTGTTGGATACTATCTGTTGTATTTACTTTGTTTTCCTTAAATGCAAATGTAGACTGAAAACAAATAAAAACAATGTAGCGAGCGACGGAGAGCGAGCTGCACCCAGCATGACGTTTGGCGAACAGTTAATAGGGATCCCCTCTCATTAAACACAAAGTTCTCGATGTATGTGAAGGACAGACAGACAGTTTCTTGCTTTATTGTTAGATGTTGTACCGAAAAGGGTGAAGGAGTTTGGCCTGGCATTGTCTCCATATGTGAACCATCACAAGGAAAACGTGCATCACGAACACAAACACATAGCTTCCCACAAAATGTCTGTTTCAGGGGATTATGCAAACACGATTATGCAGATGTATCGCAAATGTTGAACAGGCGTCAAGTCTGCCAGAAAGTGTACTTTGCATGGTGTCTAAACACAACCAAAATGTAATGTGGGGGCGGGGGGGGGGGGGGTGGCATGCAAGAGTTGCTGTGCATTACACACAGAAACTTCCGAAACTTGGTGAGTGTGGTGTGGTAGCCTGAATACTAGAGAATATCAAGTTGTTGTCGTCTCTACTGTCTTCAATGTATAAAGTTCCACTTTGCCAAAAGGCTATGGATTTCGTTAGGGATGATTCTCATCCAGAATCTCTCTTTGAAGATGATGCTACCTTGAAGGTTATATGGCTTTAAATATAAGTGGTTCAAAACCAGTGCAGTATGTTCCCTGAGGCTGTCAAGAGAGTTGTATGTGAAATGTTGTTTTCACTGTCGCTCATTGTTTGTCTTACTCCTTTGGGGACTGAGATAAAGAGATAAAGTTAACCCAATGTACCTAAACTCGTAATAAACTCAAAATATATTATGACCAGTTCATTTCTGGAAGAGTCACTTAAAGGATCCACCACCAGGGAACAACCACTCAGCATATGTTACATTAGCTTCTAGTGTCCACTCACATAAAAAATGTAATTTAATAATATTTAGATGTAGACATTTTGCTGAAGACTAACGACACTGTCTGGAGGGCTTTTCAAGCTTAGAGAAAGAAAAATTGTTTGTGGAAATTATGTTTTGTACTGCATTGACAGCTATGCTCTATTAAATGTGTCAGCCTCGTATACTTTTGCTTTTTGTTGGTGGAACTTGCAGAACGCATTTGTACATCTCTAGCATGACACACTCAATATTAAGCTGTTGAAATGTGTATTTGTTTCTGTAGGGTAACTTTTGTCATAGACTTAAAACTATACATTTTCACATCATTTTGGAACACTATTATTACTATAAATAACATCCAAAAAGTGTAAAGAGAAAACTTGCTATGGATCAATAATTATTTTATTATTTACACATCACAGACTTTGTCTGAACATTACATTTTTCTCGCAGTGTTTGCCCTGTACAATCATTTACTGTAAATCAAAAGAACGGATTTAGAAAACGTTTAAATTATTGTTCATTAAGTATATTAATTCTCTAATACAAAAGTTATGATGAACTAATTATTAAGCTTGCTGTGGACAATAATAATAATATCTAGAAAATGCATTTTCTGCAGAAATGCAGTGTAAATGCAGACAACTTTTATGCTTTGTCCAAAAAATGTCCAAATCTGTGGACCGCGAAACAGTCAGGAATCAAACCGCTGACTCTGCGATGTGTAGACATGTTCTCTAACCGCCCTGATTGTGTGTGTTTTTGAGTTTTGATGCCACTGCGCTTTACAGGGCCCTGACCTCAATCTCATTCACTGCGAGTGGACCACACCAAAAGAGTGACGGCTAGTATAGCAGCATATCAATGTCCATGGTTTTGGAATGAGATATTTAACAATCACATACAGGTGTAATGTAATTTTTAATATACCTAGTTTTTCGGTCATGAAGTGTACGTGATATGACACCTTTTAAAAGTTGAGCTCCTCTTAACAAAAATGTATTCAGAGTTCTATTGCAATTTAAATCATGCATAATTAGATTTCACAGATGATTGAAATGTCACCACAATTATGCGATAATTATAACATCCTGAAATTCTCTTTGTGTCTCGTTTCATGTTTATATTCAAACTAGTTGACCTTTTTTAAATGTTGGTGTCTTCTATTTGTTTTGTTTTAAAAGAAGACATTTAGAAACAGTACGACGTGCTCTCTCACCTTGCGTCTGCTAGCATTGCCCTGACAATCGCCCACACTGCCACAAAAACAGCTGGAACACCTGAAATTAACAAAGCAAAAAACAAACAGTAAGCTGTGCCATGATGTAACATCCTTTCTTTACCTGATTTCATTTCTAATATATGGTCTCAAGGAAAGAGAGGTATGATGTCTGAAGACATCAAACAGAGATAATCAGAAGGAGCATGAGCTGTCTTAGGAATTGTATGGAAATCATTGGGGGGGTGGAGAGAGAGTGCAAAACTTATAAGATATATAAATCGATATCAGGAAATTAAATGGCCTACATCTTGATAGAATATTTTAATATTTAATAGATTCACCTTACTCAATGCCGTCATATTGGTCCTATAGCTTATAGTTGACTGTGGTGGGAAAAATAAAACCTTGAAACAAAGATCTGATCCTCTGTATATTTTTATCACCCATTGTGCATGGTCCCCAATTAGCTTTGAATGTTCCTTTTAGGGCATCGCACGCGTCACATGAATCACATTTTGACATCTGCACCCATTTCTTTTCATGTTTTTTTTTAACGAGTATATACAAAGACACAGACCCCATTATTGCCCCCGCCAAAGAGGTTATATTTTCAGTTTGGTTTGGTCTTTTGTCTGTTTCTCAGCAGGATTGGAGAAAGACTTCTGGCCCGCTCTTCCTGAACATTTGGTGGAAGGTCGCAGCATTCAATTTCAGGTGAACAAAACACATTTTTTCCACTTTCACTAACATTGTGAGATAGGGCATGGTCTTGATGGAGGACTGCCATTCCAGTTTTCTATGTTATCTCACACACTGACAGCATTTACTGTACACAAACAAATCTGCTGTGCTATTCAACTGTATTCACACTTAATCCAGACAGCCACCATACACAGACATGCATCGATTTGATCAGTCTTAATGTATCAATGTAGAATCAATCAACCCCTCTCGATCAATTCTGCACTTTTTAAGACTAAGTTTAGATTTAACTTATTTAAGGTCCTGAAACAAGCTACGGTGCACTTCAAAAAGCCAAAACATAGGCATGTGGTGTTATTGATTGTTTTAAAAAGGCACGGTGGAGAAATCGGAAACGAAGAAAGTAGAGTGTGACCCACCATTGAAATAAAAGATCTAAGATCATCAATGCACACATTCCACTTACTACTGGTGCAAGACCATCCAACCAGCTGAGTCAACGGATGGGGTACTAAAGTTTTTACTGTTTTATAGCAGCTTGTTGAAATGTTAATTTTACATAAGAATTCAGGTCAACGCCCAGGGAATGTAATAGATAATGCATGCTATTACTTGTGTGGCTTCATGAATATGTCTACAATCTTAAACAGAAGTGATTGCATAGGATTGGGATTGTGGCTGTGCAAGACCGACCTCTCTCAGATGAAATGTCCCTCTGTCATCTAAATATGACAGCTTTCTAAGAGTCACCATGATCGATCAGTGGAACCTAAACTGGATGAGACGTGTTCCCCCATCTTTCTTTGAATTGATAGGTTATTCCACCAGATAGACACATTTTAAATGAATGCTACATAAAAAAAAGAAAGAAGCGGAGGCTGAGAGAGCCTTATGTGAGTTTGAGAGTAAAGTGCAGGGATGTAACCATAATCTTACGCTGATCTCTGAGCACAGCACGGAAACAGCAAGGAGTTAATATAACTTGTTCCATGGGCACCCGATGACAGCTAATGATAATTAGAGCATTTTCATCTATATTACAGGCTAGTCAGAGGATTTGGGCACCTGCCATCCATGTTAACATCTATCTAAAAGTTAAAATCAAGTTTGCAAAGAAAAGCTATTCAAAACGGCCATGTCAGAGTGACTACATTCATGTTTTCAGAGGTTAGGGCGTGTTTATTAATGATTCTAGGTGTCAGTTTGACATTGCAGTGAAATCTATCCGACACGTCTCCTCGGCACAGCTTTTTTTTTGTTCACCAGCGAGGAGATGATTCCCTTTTTATCACCAGATGAATTCACACTATCGAAGCCAAAGAAGCACATAATGTGTGCTGCAAAAATAAGTCGGTTCGTAGATCTCCAGGGAGGAAACTAAGGGGTGGATGCATAACTTGACAGAGCTGTTTTTAGACCTGTCAAGAAAAATGCATCCCATCCCAGAGTGTCTTATGCTTATGAAAAGAAGATGATGACACAAAGCAGATTTAAGATACCTTGCGGATTTTTATGTCACTATTACCGCTATGGAGCAATGTTTTAATAAGAGGGTCTCCATGTTGTCATCATTTCTGTTTTATGAAGAAACATCTCAAGAATACACAAAATGTGCATTGGCTATAAAAAGAGACTCCACAGGGCCCCTTTAACAAACATCCTCCAAACCTTTATCAGAATCCCCAGAACCAGAAATGATGGAGATTGCTAAAAGTCATACCTATTTCACTCTTGAAATTCTACATTAATAACTATTCAAAACACCGATCTGTATAATAAAAGTATATTGTTTTTTGATAAATTGTTGATGAAGATAGGGAATAAACAAATCACCTACAAATAAGTTCTCTTTTGTTCTCCCTCTAACTTCAACCACACTGATCTAAAGCATTATAGTCCATAAAAACAAGATGAAACATTCAGAGGAACAATTGTTGTATTAGACCATACGAAAGCACTGCAACTCAAACTGTTTTTTTTTAGCCACAAAAACAAAGACATTGAGTTTAATTAACAGGACGCTGCCTCTGTCAGACATTAGACAATACTTCCCAAATCAGCAACCTTTTTTTTTAATTATCATAACATGGTAGACGTGGCACGGAAGGCTTGAAAATAAAGGAGGCAATAACCCTAAAACAACACGAACATAATATCTACTTCATGTTAGCAGTGTTTAAAATAGCTTTACATTTAGAGAGTGTTTCAGAAATGCAGAAGTAAAAGGAAATCCTGTTACTCACAGCCCACTCACAGGCTACACAACTATACCCAGCATAAATTATGTGCCTTGTTCATGTAAACCCACAATCATTTGTCATTCTTGGTGCTTCTCTCTGTCATACAAAGCCTAGTGGGGTTTCTCAAATCTAAATACAGCACAGTATAACGCTTATTGATACTTTCACTGCTTTCGATATAATCAAACCAAACGTGAGCAGCCATTTAAATTCTGACAAGTCAAACACAGATCAGACAAAGATCTGACGTCGCTTTATTTTCCCCTTTGTGTTAACATCACTTCATAAACGAATGCTGATGGGGTCTAAAAACCTTTCATCTATTGAAATAGTACCAGCAGCTCTGTTGCTACTGATCCCCAGCTAATTTATTTTCATCCAAAACGCAAGTGTAGCACTTTGTAGAAACGTTCTTTAATTTCTCCGAAATATGCACCAGACATGAGCAGACAATATTGTATCTTCCGTATTTTTAATCATATTGATGACATGGCGATTATAACTGTATTGCAAGTTTACATCTGTATTAGCTAAAGCTTTCAGCATCGGCTGGATTTAAGTTGGTAGAGGATTGTTTAGAATGAATGATTTAGTCGTGCTGCACCATGTCATTATTTTTTTTTTGCTTACCCCATCCGATGAGGGTGAAGCCCAAGAGGTATTTGGAGTCGGATCGGAAGGCCATGAAGATGAGACTGTGGAGGTAGAGGCCTTCTACCAGGATCCAGTAGTAGTTGGTGGCCAGAAAATAGATGAAGAGGAGCACTGTCACCTTGCAGCCAATCTAATAACAAAACATCATCACTTTTATCACATCCTGTTTGTACCTGACACATTATTGTAATCACAGTACAAACTATTCTCACACCACAGCCGCCCTATAATAGAGTGTAGGATTTGAGCACATTGCTGTATAAATTTGCACAGCGATGAGAAAAAGTGAAACTATAATTACAAAGTTTGTCAATAAAGGCCATCAAATCAGCTTCAATTTATTGTTAGCCCCCACTTTTGGCCCACACATTTTGTTAACTGACAACCATTCATCTAATCACTATAATTGATATGACTATAATTATTTATGATAACAAATTATACATGTGGCTGCACAATCATGATAATAAATAAATACATCTGCATTTCCTCTGATAATATCTCAGTCATTCACAATTAATATCCTGAATTAACACAAGAAAGAACAAAGACACATTATTATTGTGCATGCAGTGCATTAATCTGCAAAGCTGTAACATAGTCACATTTTATACCTCACTTTGCCTTAGCTCACATTTCATAATCCATAAAGCAAGCATGAACAGCGATGTTTATTTCCAGAGGTACAGAACAAATACAGTGAGGAGAATATTTGCACTGGTGAGAACCCAGATAGTAAAATAGTTACTGTCTGCACATAATGAATGCAAGAGAAACGAGTAACATGAGAGCTAGTGACATGTAGTAATTCCAATGCCGACCGCATATGCTCACTAGCGGTCCCCTAAGATGAATTATATGTTTGTATTGTGTCACCTAACTTTAAAATAACTAAGGGATAATGTGGGCAAGGATTAAACAACATGGTTCAGTGCAAATCAAAATAATTGCTCTCACTCTTTGAGATTTGCAAGTTTATTGGTAACCTGACACAATTATTAATGACTCAAATCAGCTGAGTGAAAAAAAGCAACCCTGACCTTTGATGCCAATTTGAGATGACTGGAGTTATCTCTGAATTAAATAATAATAATTTAATATCTCGATTAAATAAGTACTTATTATTCAAGAGCAACATTCAGATCCCCCTGAATCTGAATGGGAGCGCTATTCCCTGTCTCAGTCAGACTCATGACTGGAGCTCACTGAGTCACTGCTTAAATGAGTTGTTTTATTAAATCTAACAAAGAACTAAATGTTAGATACTGAAAATGTAAATGTTGGTTATGTTCAATCAGAAAAGTCCCAGCGAAAGATTTGCTGTGGATTTGTGTGAATTTATAGGGATTGAGGAAAAGACATCGACGGGGCTTAGAGAAGTCTGATGATTTTTATTTTTTGTAAGCAGTTTTGTTCAGAACCATAGACTGTAAGAAGTAGTCATCGTGACGTCACCGATTGGTTTGTGGACTGACGTTATGAAGCCTCGAGTTTGGCGTTTTGGCCGTCACTATCTTGGATTACGGTCATCGTCATCTTGGCTTTTTTGCAATAAATGAACGAAAGTGATTATATTCGGACGCCCCTTTACAGCTCTGGTAGAGTAGCAACATGTCAATCACAAGGTAGCCCCGCCCCAAAGCATACTCAGCTTTATGGTCAATTTTACTAAATGGGACGATAATGTAATGAATGAACATCATGTTGTATTGAAGAAGACTTGAAACTAGCGATTGAGACCATAACCTCATGTTTACAATGTTTTATGTGAGAGCTCCATCACAAAAAATGTTTAGGTGCTCACACACAAAGTGTTACAACCATCCCAGGCTCCCCTATATCTTATAGACAGCCTATTTTGAGTGCTTCCCATTTTAGGTGCAGCAGCAGACTTTGTTACTGCTTGCCCCGCTGTCTTCATCTTTTTCCTCTCTCCCTGTGTTCCCTTTATGTGCTGGTGTAAATATGACATTGTCAGTAACCCTGTGTCTATACAATATAAGCTGACCTTCTAGTCCAAGTCACCTGTGTCTGCCCTTTCTCCAGCTTCCTTCTCTCCTCTGGTATCCCTCTTTGTCCACAGCGTGCACAATCGAGCGCCGCGATGACTCGTGGAGCCGACGCGCAAGACTAGACGGCATTATTTCCCAACTCGCATGGCTCACGCTGGGGACACTGCGTCCAGCATAAAGCTGCTCAGAGCAGCTCAGTGGGGTCATGGTTTGCAGTGACATTTTTCTTGGTGGAGTGAGAGCGTGACACAGAGCTTGACTTTACTCAGGTCTAATAGCCAGGAAGAAAAAAAGATTCAAACAAGTAGATCTGGCACTTACATACTGAGAGTTGTCCACTGGTGCCATGCTAACTGCCTTTAAGTTGTCCAACAGGGCAGAATCAAAGTCCTGCAATCCAGCACTGGAATAGACGACTTTGTCCTTCACAAAGATGCTGACTGCCCGTAGCATGAAGGACACAAACAGGTGCATGTGGATGTAATTCCTGGTGCAGTGAAGACGCCTGCCGAGAAAACAAACAGGATTCACTGGTATGAATTCATAATTAAGATTATGCAATCCAAACAACTAAGACATAAATCACATTTATATTACCTCAGGTTGATTGGTCGCTGATGCGTGTATAGTTAGAGGACAATAGGTCCTAATTGAAGTACAAGTTCAAGGCTAGTCTTCAAGTATTGCTGAGTAGATATAGAAGAAAAATATAAAAGCCTTTAGTTGGGGTCGTTTGAAGAAGCGAAGATTGTTTCATCCCAGTTTAAGGCTATAATTAAATCACCCCCATTTCCCCTCATTATCTACAGTCAACTATAATGTGGAGGTTGATTGGGGGAAAAGAGCTATTTAGGTGGCATCTATAAGAAAATATGGCCAACCGGCTTTGTAAAATGCCTGAGTGTCTTTCCACTGTAAGCCGTCAATGCAGCACAAGCCTGACCTGCAACAGTCATCAGCGTATTAAGCGTAAAAGTGGTAGTTTAAATCTCAAACTGTTTCTTCGGTTACATTTCTGCACTCGCATTGCTTTCACTGACTCAAGCTCTCAGGGACTTTGTAACCCGCATCATTGTGCGTCTAAAGGTCTGGGAGCCGCATTGTTGTCCCTGCAGAAGCCAGCACACCTCCCTCTTTCTGAGATGTGAAATGTAATTTATTGTTTTCAGTGGCTGCAGAAGGTTCAGAAATTGTAGTGGAGGTTGACAGTTGCACTTCAGCTGAGTTTCCTCTGTACGAACCATACAAACATACAGTATATCTTCCTCCTAATCAGCACTAGTGTTGTTGTTGTTGCTGCTCATAATTACTGTTTAAAAAATCCTCACAACCTCTTTTCAGTTAATGATGACACCATCTTCACCGTCACATGATTGTTTTATCCTTAATTGGCACATCAATTAATTATTGTTGCCTGAACCTTTCTATGTGGGGAAATATGTTTCGATATAATTTAGTGACACCTATTCATGTCCATACTATGGAAACCTTCTTTGCTCATCTCGTTATGCTGCATTAGGTATCCTGGACATCCCTTAGTTGCTCAGCACTGTAATAAGCTGGTTGACTGCGGTTTGCTATGGTAAATATGTTGTAGCTAAATTAGGTGTCATATCGGGTGATGCGCATTATTGTAACAGTATATTAAAGAGAATAGCAAAGAGAGCAGAAGAAAGCTGAGGGAGGCTGAGGAATCAAAGATTTTGAAGCTGCTTTATGATGTCAAACACACAACACAACAGATATAAGGCCCGTTTGTCAAAATGCATCTTGTCAGCTGCAACTGATCCAGAAAATATGCTCTGTTTGAAGTCTTCCTATTTAATCATGCAGCTGTGAACCTCTTTGGGACTTTTCCTACTACTACTGAATCTACTGAGTCAGTTTCTTTTTACACTGAGTGCCGACAAGTGATTAACGGAGACACAATCTTTAGTATGATGGATTATCTTCATGTGGAAGGTGGGAGAGATGCCTTTAAAAAAAGTGAGAAACACTAGTGTGGCCCCAAAGGTATATATTGCCTCAAAATGAGTTTCTCGTGATCTCAAATTACAGTCAGTCTCTCCACAGCGGCTTGTTGTACACTCAACCTTCCTTCCCTGTAGCCAACACTTGCTTCTCAGGCTGTAGAGACAAGGGAGTCGCTTGTAAGGACCCATTAAGCTAGGTATAATTGTGGTAACTGTTGATTATATTTAATATATTTACTTAAGCATCGGTGTTGTGCAAAAAAAGCTGTTTTTATTTTTGCTGAAGATCCTTTTTGTCCTCCTCTCGGTCTCTCTTTCTGTCTCCCGTCGTTCCCTGCCAGGTATTAAACACAGCTGAGTGGGCTGTACAGTGTCAAGTGGAAAGAGATTTCCAAAAGCCTTTTGATGTGTTGATGGTATGATTACGCCAACTGTAAAATTGCATAATGAACCTGGAGAGCCTTGCTAGTGGAATTACTAGATTATGCCAATAAAAAAAGATCAGTCTTTTCACAAATAAGGCCGTTTGTGGTGCCAGAGAGAAATGATGTCGTGTTTACTTCTCTCTAAGGAGCAACTGGATGGAAGTAATGCTTTTCTTCATATCAGTACTTTTTTTCCCCTGATCTTTAGAGTATTTAAATTTGAAAATGTGCATTATCTTTACTCTTCTTTCACAGAATGGATATAAATTGATCTCCCGGTATTGTTTTGTAATCCAGTTATGTACATAAGAAGTTGTTAGGTCACAGGATTTGTAGAGAAACTGTAAGCAGCAACTTTAAGAATATTAACTTAAACCAAATATTTCAAATAAAACTGAACATAAATGCTCAAGTCTTTTAAAATACTGACTATTTCCGTTTAAATCCTTTACCTACGCTTTGGGTTTCTTCCCAAGACTGAAAATTAAAGCAGCATTAAATTGCTTTCCTGATCCCTATGGGCAGTTCTGAGCAGTCGCAGAGGACCACTGCTCCTCCCTGCATGTTGCCGTTGCTGTGTCTTGGCAAAAGTTGATTCATTAACTGGTTGGACTTGACAGAATGGCAACAGGCCAGTGACGTTTTGGTATCAAGCATTAAATTAAGAGTAAACTATTTGTTCCACTTGATGCTAGACACGTAGCACATTCATCAGCAACATGAATTATTAATTAAACAAAAAAAGTTACAAGTCTTGGCAAAAAAGGTAATTATGGTGCAGGAAGTGGTTCCAATTCACCATTCATTAATCATTGTGGTGTTGGATTCATTTTGTGCATGTAAGAAAGAAGTAATTTATTTCTATCATATCTCAAATAGACAACTAATTACACTGAGTATCACCTCTGTTTGAAACTGTTGACTACACTGTTTGGTTCATTTACTCTATATGTTACCAATCAATCAAATATATCAATAGACTTTTAAAACTTTTTTTTTTAAATCCAGTGTCAAACTTCTTGTAGTTAATTAAAAAGTGAACCTTAATTGGAAGTCTGTGATAGAATGCAGAGTCCGTACCCTTACTTCTCCCTTTCCTGCACTGGCACTGAAATGATTGAGCTGCAGGATTGCTGCTCAGTATTTCAATGAACTCCTCAATTAAACTCAACATTTTCTTCATTATTTCACAAGGACAGCGAGATGGAAAAAAAATAAAGCATGCAGCAGTGAAAAAGCCTGCCTGATGATGTGATGAACAGCAGCTCTATCAGCACTTTCTAAACCAACTTAGAAAGTCTGTTAAAGCGGCTCAGCTCTGTACTCACTGACCTGGAATTATATCTTGTGGTTTTAAGGACTTTCTTTTATCTGACAAGCATATATTTGTGATGCACTATTGTGTGTAGCTTTCTGATTGTGTCTCTTGTGTGTTATTTCTTGCATGACATTGTTTTGTGTTTTCACACTGTACTGTTTGTTATTGTGTTGTCTTTGTTTTGACCTGCCAAGGGACTACATATGTGAATTAACTTGAATCTATAGCCTGGTACGATGCATCACAATGGCGATATTTATGATTTAAAACTGTAGATGGTCCCTTTTAAATTAAATTAAATAGAAAATGCTGGCTTGACAGGAGAAGGTGGAATAACCGGTGGACTGGTGCCACACCAACAATTTACTTTACTTAGCACACACACGCTGTCGGACCAAGGCCACGACAAAAGATACGGTGGTCTATGTGCAGAACTACCGGGTTCTTCAGTAGCTTCTTCCCTCATGTCATGAGACTCCATGACCCCCAGTAACATCCCAACTGCTCTGACCGTCTATTCTATTATTACTCAGGTGGTCAGTTTGACCATGCGTGCAATACTCATGGTTTGTGTAAAGCATGTTTACATAACTAACTTTATTATTATTTTTACTCTTGTTAGCATATTTTATGACATTCATGATTAGTGATGCCCAAAAGTTGTCATTACTTAAACTGCATAACATTTATAAATGGTATATATTATATTATAAATATGTATAGTAAGTGTGAGAAACAAGTTGTTGCCGTAAATGATACAAATTAGAATGTGAAAAATGCAGAGTCTGATTTTTGTTAATCCACTGATGTGTGTGTTTGCTACGAGGAAGACATTTTATTGTTGATTAATTTTGACATTAGAAAATCCATTTTTACCTGAAGTATCCAATGATGAAGATGGCCACCAGCAGAGAGCTGAAGGACACAGCGTAGCCTGTGGTATACATGACATACAGCCGCTCGAAGAAGTCTTGCTGTGAACGTAGAAATATTAGCTTTTCAGTCCACTCATTAAAGTGAAACAGCGTTGCAGAGGAAATAACATACATGATTCACAGCTGCTGGGAGAAACAGGTTGCAATGAGAACAAGAAAGCAAGAGAACTCATTATTTTGTGTTTGCATTTTGACAGAGGATGAGGAGTATTAAAGCAAAGACATATGCACATGTGTCATATTAAGAAATGGTTCAGTAACTCATTCCCGCTCTTACTAAGCCAGTCTAAGGTTATTTAAAAAAACAGAAAAGGGTAGATTTATTATGTCTTAAAGTCTTAAATCCTTAATCTCTGAATGCTTACAGACTGGAGACAACAGGGGTTTAACAATTGTCAGATTGGTTAGATTCAGATGAAACCATAAACAAAAGATGGATTTGGAACATTTTAGTATTTCTATAAATCCCTGCTCCTAAGTTTTTATCTCAAAACATCCATGCTCCCTCAGAAAGACTTTACACGTTGGAGGCTTCTAATCAAGAGATTGCTAATCATGCGGATAGGTATCCACTTCAGCCAGTCCTCCATACTCTTTGCAGTCTCAAGTGAAATGAGCCCTCATGCACATCAAGTCCCAAATAAATCAACCCCATCGTGTCCAAGCCCCGTGTCTTGTTCTAATACACAAAGGATCAAATAAGTAGCCACAGCAGGCAGCTTTGTTCAGTAACAAAGATCAAACCGATCTTTAAAACGAAAATGCAGTTTGCTTCAGCAGAATGTGAGATTAGCAGCGGACAAACTCAGTCACACACACGACCAAGCATAACCTCTCTCCTGGCTTAACCCTGGCAGAGATAATAAGAAAAAACACAGTTCTCCTTCACAAAATTGTCTTCAATTTGGTGGACAATTATATGGTAAGATGTGAGTTTGACTCTGCCCAATGTGTTCGTACATGAGTTGAAGCACACACGGTTCCCTAGCATCTGATTTCAGTCAAGTCTATGCTAACAACCTATCTATCTATTCATGCATGAATGAGATTGGTGCCTGAATATTTTACAGTCATACTCACCCTCCCTTCCTCATCAGTGGGCTGAAGGAAACGCAGACAGTCTGAGTAGTTGGTCCATGTTTTGTTCCAGTGGTCCACAAACACCCAGGAACCGTTGACATCACACTTCCTGTAAGCATGTCCTGTAAACAAACGCTTTAAAATGATTTTGGTCATTTACAACCCAAACAAAACAAATGGTGATGATTAAAGCATTTCATGCAAGTGGATCTTATGGATTTTAGGCATTTGCCCACCAGTCTAGTAAAATGAACGGCTAAACAATGTTTAAAATATATGGTATACATTTTTATTTTTAATTGATTTTGAATATTTCAGGTAGTTGCAAGTAAGTCATGCAGAAACATGCTTATATTACAATATATCACCAGCGTAAACAATCTGAATCTCTATATTTAAATGTACTTGTAGTACAGTTCTCAGTGTTTGTGATGGTACATCTTCAAAAAAAAACATTTAAAAAAAAGTGTTCACCTTTGTGATTGAAGTCATAAATGTAAGCCGGGCAGGGGACCTTGGTAACCAGCCCAGGAGAGCCATGGGGCCAACAAATAAGACCGTCCCACTCTGGAGGGCACACCTCATCTACAGCGAGCAGGGTATGATAAGTAAGAGGAAGTCAACATACAATTCACATACTGTCGTCTGGTATCTGGTCAATGTCGTTTTTTGTTGTTGTTGCTGAAAAGCTGTTTTGTTATTCGTATTGACTCCATTCTGTCCATGTGAGAGAAAGACTGTAATGCACAATTTTGTTTGTTTGACAAAAAAATAAAGTCTGCAAAAGAACAGAAACATTAGCTTCTGTTACTCTTTTAAATTCCATGTTGATCGTATATAATTTTATTTTGCATTTTCATCTTTATCTGGCTTCTAAACAACAGGTTCTGAAAGCTAAAAAAAAAGATTATTCATAGTTTAAATATCACCAAATCAAGAAGGGGGCAATTATAACAGTCTTGACTAGAGGGGAAAAATCTGCTTTCAATGTGACTGGTGTGAATCTCCCTGACACTTTAAATCTTGTCTTAACAATCAATAAGATGTGAGGAAGTTTAAGATTAATCTTAAGCCACTGTTGTTGGTCTTTATATCATTTGAGCGCTGATATCCGAAAGGAAATTAAATGTATACTTTCGTTATTTACATTGTGAATAACAAATAATAGTCATAATATTCCCTTCAATGAGTATTCTCCCATATACTAACACACTCAAATATCTTGAAAACATATTGCATGTACTGAATCTTTGCTCTACATTGATTTTCTACAGGAAAAACATGTTCCTTTGCCTTTTGCCAACAAAAACCATAAAGAGGTAAACAGAAACCATTGGATGTCGTGGATTTCATTGTGTAGGATGGTTACAAAATCAAAAAACATTAGTCTGGTGAAAAATGTGACAGCCACTCATGGATATCGAAATGGATGCCCCAAACATAAATGTGCACCTCTGCTGACTCATCTGCTCCTTGCACTTACTGCACAATGACTGTATTACTGTAAACTTTACAAAGTGCAACTTTCAAAAGCAATGCTCTTTCTAGTCAGTTGTGTCTTTTTCTTTACTGGTTTTGGATAAGACTTATGTTTGCCAAACACATTGGTTAGTACTCATCCTAAAAGCCTTTTCTCTTGTAACATTAAATGTAAAAAAACATACTGTTTGATGATACAAATAATGATGCAAGCAAAGGGTTTTCAATCTGCTAGTAGAGCTGACTTTAGCTTAATTAGCTAGCTGGGGACAATCAAGTGACAGTTGTTGTTTCAGCCAGCAAAATCGACAGTCAGAAGCTAGAAAAGAGAAGTCTGCTTAAGTCTGCTGTTATCAAGGAGCTGCTGTTAAACAAAATACCAACGATTTTGAGTGATTGAACTGCCAAGGTTGCTGTTTTAAACAGCTGGCAACAGCAACTAAGGCGGGCAGGGTTTAGCAAACGCTCAATTGTTTACATACATCTTCTGTTCATATATTTACTGTATATGTTGTATATTTGATAATCACTACATAAACATGAAGAAAACTCAGATTAATTGTGTGGCATAGTATGACAGTGTAACTGTCTGTGCACGTTTTGTACCTGTGGACTCTGGCTCAGTGTTGGAGAGGTTCTGGTAGCACTGCAGTTTGATTTCATAAAGGATGTACATCTGCTCCTGTGCAGAGAGAGGCCCATCAAACCCCATCTGTGGAGCACGACAAACAAGATCAGACCGGTCACCCTCTGTCCATATGTGTTCAAATGACCTTTTGCTTTTGGCTTCTCAATAACATTTGGGACATCTTTTCATATTCCGCCTGCTGTGGGCCAGGCCAACATTTGTGGAGGAAAGTGGAGGAGCAGAGAGAAAAAAACATGTTATTGCGAATTTGTACATTTAACATTTGTTTTTTTAATGTAAAATTCTTTATATTTTACCATTACAGAAGGATATTTGTGGGTTCATTAATTATTTTTTCATGTAATCTTAATTGGATCCCTATCCATTAGTCATTACGTTTTACTTGTACCATTCAAAGCACTGCTCGGCCTGACACAAAGAGCTCCTATGCGCAAAAATACTGTTTTCTGCTTCGTAATATTACATTCTCACGGGGGTGCTAGTGCGATTTAGGTTATTGCATTACAAATCAATCAGGAAACACCATATGAATTATTTAAGTAAATTGTCGGCCGGCAAAAACCCCATCATCTGTTGACACAAGCATTTATCGTAATAACAATCTTTTCAAACTGCCATCAAGCCAAAGACGCTTTTTGGCTTTTGCTGTAACTTTTGAACCCTGTCACGTGATGATCAACAGTTGTATATTTAAACTCTATTGAAGTTTTCTTTTTTTTTTACTTCAGCTTGGTAATATCGCCTGTTGGTCTATTGGTTTGAAAATACAAACATAGATTCTTACAGTAGATGAATAAAGTAAAAGGTAACTAGATCTGTCTGCTGCTCATCCAAGAGGCTGCTTCACTTTGCAGGGTGTCTGAGGCATTTAATCTTTGTGTTTTTACAACTTGATGTCGCTTGAGTGTCATTTCTGTCACCATGCAGTGAATTGGAGCCATATGATTTGACACGTGAAGAAGCAGGGCATCTGATTTCATGACAACTCCGTCTGTCAAATCTGACAGTTTCAAAGAGGTGCAAAGGAGAAATGGCACCTGTACAGATAGTTTTCCTTTATTTCATATTGAACTAAGAGAAAACACAACACGGTCTACGCTGTTGTATGCGAAAGACGTGATTGTATAGGCGCAACCGGTGCTGTCATCCCTCCTTGATTACCTTTGTGTAACTAAAATGATGTCACTGAAGCCATAGTTAGAATCTCAAAACTAAAGAATACTTCCTCCATTTAACACCTGCACATTATGATGGAAAACTGTTCTTCGCTTCCAGCTTTAAATCAGCTGCTGTGAAGTGAAGGGCGACATTTCTGGAAGAGTGAATTACGTTTATTTTGACATTTCGAACATTGTTCAAACGGAAATGTCCATTTTATTAGCGGACATTAGAAATGTGCGTGTATATTTTCTGTGTGCCAGACATCCTAGAATGGGATCTTTTAATGTGAGGACACAAGATCCGATCTGCAGCCCCATTAGGAAGACAAAGTCAGTCACTTCTCCTCTTAACCATATTCTGACTCGCCTGTACTGTTCTCCCAAAGATAACAACCAATATACTGTAATAAACTGAACTCTAAATTCAGGGATCTTTCCCAAACCTATTAGAACAGCTACTGTATCGTGAAAACAAAAGTATGTAAGCCCTTAAAAAGTCATCAGCAGTGAAGCGTCTGTTTTTCATCTCAGGAACACGGCTGAAGTTAGAGGTTTCCTACATGTATACTACCTTACTGTCGTTACAGGTGTAATGTGGAATTTTCAGAAAATCCTTGTTATTAGTGGCCTTTAAGTGAACTGCAGTCAGCATCCTTTTACTTGCACTCACAAGTGTTTCCTGAGTGCTGGCGCTTTGTAGGCGCGAGCAAGCATCAGCCAAACAGTGACACGATATTACATTACAATCAAATATCATATTTAGAATAATGTTGTAACTGTAAGGTTCCTGTATTGAATTTGGACAATTAGCTCCATTATACCAACCAGCTTGCCGTTTGCAAATTACTTTATCAACTAATGTTAAAAAGAAGATCAATGCAACGTAGCTAAACTACAGCTAACTGGCTAACCTTGGCTTAGGTTAGGCAAACAGCAAGCAAGCCAATTTAACAGCCAGATCAGCCCCAGGAATCTGAATTAATTGGGCTGACGTTATCCACTCAAGACAGATTGTTGCTACGCTAGCTACACACTGTTGGCTGAAGAGAGGCAAGGCGCATAGGAGCGTGCATAAACGTCACGTCATTGGGATTTTCCCAGCAAAACAGTTCCATAAAACTCAGCCCACGGGAAGTTATTGGCAAAGACAGTCTGGGAAAGTCTCAGTTATTAAGTAACGTTACAATCCATTCACACTTGGCTATACGAAGTGATTAATACAATTAATAAATTGTTACATATAGTACCATTTAATTGCTGTGGCAGCCCTTTTGACCTATGAATGAGACTAAGCGTCTACAGCCATGCTAGCTGGTTTCTGAGGCTGTACTTCTAGGCACACAGGTGATTGGAGCTAAAAGCTAACAACAAAATAATGCTAAATATGCTGATATTCAACAGGTATAATGTTTACTATGTTTACCATCTTGGTTTAGTATGTTAGCATGCTAACATTTGCTAACCAGCACTAAAGTACAGCTAAGACTGTAATTAGTTTTTTAATATCTGGTCATGATCCAAAGTGTTAAACAAACTAATGGTGGCGCTATAGAGGAAAAGTCAAGGATTACCAAAGTCGTCACCAATCGTTATCTGGGGACGATGAATCGTTGTTGGGAGATAACAGTCGGCCTACATTGTCCCAGTGCACTGCACTACATACATCAAAAAAAAGTAAAGTCCTTTGTCTGATATCAATTCTAAATAACTTCCTTATATGGTCTTTCATTTGAAGTCCCAGCAGATACACACCTGCCTCTCCTTTCATTCACATTTTTTCACACAAGGCTACTTTGGTGAAAGCTGTTCAGCCCTTCAAGTATGGAACAACCCAAGACTGGATTGGTCGTGGTTTGTCAGTTTGCTCTTTATCAAAAGAAGCAATTACACTCGTTTTGGAACTTGTTTGGAATAATGGGACTGCATGTCCATGGTTTTTATGTTTCATGTTCTCTGATTTATTTTGTATAGCCCAAAATCACAAATTACAAATTTGCCTCAGAGGGCTTTACAATCTGTACACATGCGACATCCTCCTCTCACATCGGAACAGGAAAAACTCCCCCAAAAAACCCTTTAACGGGGTGAAAATAGGAAGAGACCTTAGGGAGAGCAACAGAGGAGGGGTCCCTCTCCCAGGATGGACAGAAGTGCAATATATGTCATGTCTACAGAATGAACAGAATAACAGAGTTACAACACATTCAATGCATATGACAGAACCACGGCAGGAGGCAAGACCATGGTCCAGGTATAACCAGGATCCACGGAAACCTGCGAGGCGAGAAAGCACAGAGGCTCCGGTGAAGAAGCAAAGTCAATAATGTGCGGTATCGTTAATATAGAATGGTAATGTGAGTAATAATAAAAATGATATTAGCAGTGGGAGTCAGCAGGGCCATGGTGGGAGGGAGGACCAGGGGCTAGATATTTTATATATATATATATATATATCAAGATCTTCAAAAAAGTCATCAAGGATATTGATGAAGTCAGTTCAAGCTGTAATACTGTGAGTCATGAGCCACCCTGTGATGTCAGGTCAGATGTAGAAATGTTAACAAGCAAGATATTTTTTATATTAAGCACCACATTCAGACCTACTCAAAATACTTATTGTATGCTTTGCCTCAAAGTTTTTACCATACTGTATGTACGTACTTGTCTGTAGAGATGGAAATAATTCCAGACATTTTAATTCCATACATGCACTGAAAATTTGTAGGTTAGAGGTGAACAATTTTACTCCTTACTTTCTCAAGCAAAGTCCATTTCATGAAAAGGATGAAACAGTCAATACAATGCTCTGAATGGACAGTTCATGCAGTTGAAAGAAAGTGTCGAGTGCCAACAATCTGCTGAATCTATCAGCTCCTGTTCTGGCTGCCATTAGATGACCACTGATAAACACCTCAGCATTCAGAGAGCTGGCTGCGTTCTACAGATTAATAACGTCCACTTTCAACACCTGTGGACTGTTGCCTAACAACATTACTTGACCCTATGTGCAGAATGATGGTTTTCACAGTTGGGTATGCATCCATAGGCAGGATCCTTTATGAAAAGTCAGAGACCATATCCTTTGGAAAACAGAGTATCTTGGTGTGTTTTTACTGCTCATGATTTTTACATCTTTTACAGCAACGTCACCCACAATCACAGTTTGAGGCCCAGTTGTTAGCTTTCCATGCAGCCTTTAGCTTTCTGGGTTACTTTCAGTCCTTCGCCTGCTGTGTGAGGATGAGAGGTTATCCAGGACATCAGGGTCCTGCACGGTGGAGCTGTCCTCTCGCTGCACACTTGCTTTTTGAGGGGAGGTTTGTCGCTAGAGCTCCCTTTCGCAGCTGCCGAGGGCTGTGTGTCCTACTGACTACAGGAGTTGAAGAGGCACTTTGCCTGCATGATAATGAAGGCCAGCAGGTCACATCACAAATTTCAGGGAGCTAGGCTCTGTTACTCATCCTCCCAATTCCGAGGTTCAGGATTTACTCTCAGGCTTTGCACCAACGGAGTTCCAGGCAGGACAATCACTTTCAATCATTACGTGGTACACGGCCTTCCTGTTCCAAGGTAATCTTGTCGATGCTAAAAAGACATGTGTTCGCATGCTCTTGTCCACTGGTTTGAGTCAACGGTAAAGTGGTTTCGATCCCACATAGTTCCATGTTCACTTCTAACAGGTGAATTTTCGGTTCCGGCACTACTATCTTTTTCAGAAGTTTGTGGTCGTAAACCTTATAAAAGGGGGGCAAACTTGCTGCTTATTAGCTTTAACTAAGTATTACGTTTCCAGTCACTACAGTTCAGGCTTGTGTTGTTGTTAGGCCATGCTTACATAGTGAGGACCTCATATAAATGTTGAAGCCTATCATCTCCACAAACAATTACAGTCCCACAGATTTATCCAAGAGATGCTGCTCATAGTTTCTCACATTTTATTTTACTTTTACACTAGATTAATGGCTGAATATGTATATTGAAGGATGTCACTGATGTTTAAATGGGCACTCTTGGTTAGATCCCAAGTGCTATTAATATGCATAGCAATCTGGCACTTCCCTTGAACTTTTGTACGTGTGAACGTGGTATGGATTTCCATGTCCCTGTTGTTGCTGTGATATATTGTGTTGGTGTGTTGTTAAAGTTGTCTTTTCTGTTCTTATATGAACCCTGGCTGCATCACAAATCCCCCCTTGAGTAACAATAACGATAACCTTGAACCTTGCACAAGACAGGACGTGTTTTCTTCTTCAATATTTAGAGACAAAACTAACCACCATCTTTCCCTGACCATTTTTGTTAGCCTAAACCTTACCACACATGCCACACATGCCCACTCCAGTCTCTGGGATCAAACATATAAATGTAATCTTTTAGGTGACAGGGCTGCATAATGAGGTAAGGAGAGAGGAGGAGGGGGAGAGAAAAGAGAGTCGGTAGTGACGTTTTAATTACAGAGATGAAAGGCTATTTCTTTACAGTAATCTATGGTTGTGCTGTCGCAGTGGTGCATTCCTTTTTTTTCCAGCAGCAATTCACTTGTTTTGTTTTCTCAGCATGGACACACATTTGTTGATCTGGCTTTCTTAACTACCCAACAAGTCGATGTTGACAAGCTGCCTAAGTCAAAGGGTCAAACTGTATTTGTTCAATCCACACATTTTAGCTTATTTCACTATATAGACACCCTCCATTTCAAAATACCATGCATTAAAATGTTGTGCAATACGGATATGTTTTGCTGGGGTTTCTTGCGAAAAACGGTGACTTGAAAGTACATTAAAACATGTTTATTCTCCCTCACTGAGAATTCAGCATCTATTGATGTGCAAATATTAAGATGCCTGCATGTCCTGAATATCATTTCATAGAAGTAGTCAAGGTATGTTTTTCATGTCTGTACTTTCAGATATGAGGCAAGGTTACGTCTATCTTTAGAAGCCTACCCTTTCCTCAGAAAGCTAAATAAAATATGCATGTGTGGTGTCTGCACAACACATCTAACCTTTTATCAGCAACACATCCTGCTGCCCCTGAAACACGGCCCTGGTTAAGCGGGAAAACAAACTGATGGATGCATCAGATTTCACAAGCCATCTATCAACAGGCAGCTACATTTACCAATGACTGTCAATGGTAGCGCCTATGCTAAGGAGCCAATTGAGAAATTAGTTGCATGAAAAAAAAAGACTTTCACACAGCAGCTGTTGCTGCTGCGAAACACCAATTAAAAGTTGTCATATAGTCAGAAGCCTCGGAATTAGTTTGTTGAAACAAAACTATAAAACCTTGACATTTCTGTCTTAGCGCAAGGTTCCTTGGTAATCTGCAGAAAGAAGCTTCCTGCTCTGGTTCGTAATTAAAGCTGCAAAATTGATGATGACTTTTTAAGAAATGTTCACCACTCAACACAGACTTGTCACTCCATTGAAAAGTACATTTCCTGTCAACAAACACCCATCTGGAAATGTCAGATTCCATTAAAAAAAAAAAATAAAATAAATTTTAAAAAAAATAAAAAATATATATATATATATATATTCCAACAATACAAACTAAGTATTCATTATTCTGTCATTTGCAATTTCATGGCAGCACAATGTTGTTTAGTGGTCCTGGTGCTGACGGCGCTGTCCATGGTGCTGATAATGAAACTCTCCTTCCTTCATTTCAAAAGATAACACAGGATCATTCACAGTTCAGCGACAAATAACTCTGCATGTCATGTGATTCATTTGCCAGAATTTTACTCATTAAAAGGCTGATGCTGCACTCTTTCAGCTATTCATTTTCTGTTGCAGCTCATCACTGCCATCGTTTTAAATGAATCATTTTCAATCGAATGATGTGAGAGTAAAGCACATTGACCATTTAGAGGAGCTGTTAGGTTTAACTCTTTTTTTGGGATTGCACCCAGATCTCACTTATTTATTAAATTAGAAGCACACTGGCTGCCATCAAAGGCTGCAAAGCCAATATGGGTGTGTGAACGATTGGCAGATGATGACTATTGATACAACTCCTCAAATCTGGAACAAACAGCTCCTGAAATGCCAAGCTAATTATAAACACAAAGACTTTCTGCAGTGCCGGTGTTGCACCGATTTTGTGACTGAAAAAAGATCAGCTGTGAGGGCGATGCAAATAATAGGTTTATAGAGGTGGTTGTTATAATGCAAATATAATATAATAAAAATATGACTTCAGGAGCAAGAATAGCGACTGTTATAGTGTCAAATATTTTTGCTAAAGTGGAGACATAATGCGTTCTTACCTGTGCGTCCACAGAAGCCGAGCACAAGAAAAAGTTGAAGACTAATATCCACACAAGCAAGTTCATAGTTCGTCTTTCTGCCTTCATCTCCAGCAATTTAAAAAAATATATACACGAACTATGCGTTCATTTGAATTTAAGCAGCCTTATACGCTCGAGATAAACACTTCCTCTGTCGCCGTCGCATCATTGAGTTACAGCTTCACATTATTAATGAAAGTTCCATCGCAAGTTGGGGTCCAAAACTGAGCCGCCCAGCGCGGTGAGAGAGATTGCGGCAGTGGACTTCATCAGATCACAAATTCCACGTGTTTTTTTTTTCCCCATTCAGTTTTCACTCGGTTCTCATGATTGAGTTCCGTGACATCGCTGCTCGCACATCGCCGTTAGTCTGGGATGCGCGCCGGGTGAGTAAAAGTGAGCCTCACGTCCAGTTTCGTCACAGTACGTCATGATTAAAACCTCATTATTCCTGTGCGCGCTTCCCATCACGCATGTGGATGGAGCTCTGCCTCGCGCTAGTGTGATTGTGAGATGTTCTCTCTCCTCGCGCAGTAAATCACGGGACAGGGGACGGGGCACCCTTTTGGCAGTGCAATGTATTTGACGCACAGACAGGCTTTTTAAAGATATAGGCCAACTGTAAATTAATATGTTATTGGTTTTTATTCAAGGTTTTTCCCCCCTTTTTTAATCAACTGAGCATGTAAAAACCTTCTGCTAAAGTTACTGTAACAGTAATATCCATTGTTTGTTTATTATTTTGTATTCAATATAGAACCATTACTTGGGGGACATGAATTCTGACAATGAAATGTTATAACCTAAATGCTGAAGATGAATATTTAAATTTGCGTATCTGACTAAATTCTCAGCATGCTTTGTAAGACAGCCAGACTTGTGCAGTTTAATGATTTAATGTAAGAATAAACTTACAAATCAGAGTCCAAAAAGCACAGGCAAACAAAAACTCCAGCAAAACTTCATATAGCAATGAAGTCAAACCGACCAATAAACAACAGAAGCACTAATACACAATGAGAGCAGGGGGATTACACACAGGTGCAACAAAAGGCGGGAAAACACACAAAGGCCAGAAGTAAAACCAGACATGACACAAAATAACACAGGAAAATAAACAAGAAACTCAAGACCATGAGCGATTGAATATGAAAGAAAAAAAAAGAAATATGCAGCAGGAAATAATGACCTATAATGTCTTGGCCCATGGTGCCGTAGGAGCTGTCCATGGTGCTGACAAGGCACCATACGGCAGCAGCTCAATTCCAACCATGGAACAAGCAATGGTGAGACACAAGCCTGTCAGATCCTTTTCTAACAGTATCACATTTGTGAGCCCCCCCTTCATCTCTTCTTTAGGTCTGTAACTGTTTAAGAAGCACATTGAGCATGAATTTCTACATGCCTGGACTGTTGCACAACACACATGTGGGCAGAGCCTGTCTAATGAGTCAGTGGTGAACTAATGCATTCAGTACGTACACCACTGACTCACACTGTGCCACATTCTATTTAATAATGGCAACCGCTGATGGCATGCAGCTGTCAAATTGACATTGGCAGGGCCATCATTTACCCAGCATGCAATGGGTGTAAAATAAACCACTTACAGCCTCGTAGTAGCAGTGTAACAATGGAGGAGAGACAGAAGCCGACCGAGTACAAGAGAGAAAATCATTACATTTATAGTCAAAAACTTTCTGAATGCATTTTTGCAGAAATAGAAAGAGATCCCGGAGGAATAGGCTGTGATTATTGTATGATTTCACATCCAAGCGCCTGCTGCTTCTCTGCTCAATTAGTGGAAAAACGGGCATCCACTCATGCCTTCACATGATTTTATCAGCATCTCTCAAAGGCCTCCTCAAAGTGCTGAGCCGAAGGCCTGCTGAGTTCTATCATTAACCTTTAAGAAACCTGAAGTGAAACCAGTACTCGTACGTAACCCGCTGTCAAGGCGCATTGAGTTCAGACCGACTCAAACTGAACTCTATGGCCCATAGCTGCTTCCTCTCACCTTCGCTACGCCCCTTCTCTAGAACGGCCAATGTCCATTTCTTCGTTAGCAACTGTAACTAGGATCAGGAGGCCTGTCAAGCTTTCAGCGGTGTGTGTGGAACCTGCGAAGGCTCAGCTAAGCGTAGAAAGTGCTCTTTAGACATCTGAAGCAATTCAATTAAATTTATACAGCGCCAAAATCATAGCAGATGTTATCTCAGGGCACTTTCTCGCACAGAGCAGATGTAGGCCGTACCGTGTAATATTATTTATAGAGAGCCAACAATTCCCACACTGTTCTCCACCTTTTCCCATGAGCAAAAGCGGCAAAGAAAAAACTCCCTTTTAAGACACAGAAACCTTCCTTAGAGTGAGAGTTCATCTGTTTAAACATTCAATGAGATCAGAAAGTTACATTTCATGTAATTTCAATACTTTCATTTTAAATTTCAAAGAGCTTAAATGTCCCCTCAAGAGGAATATACTCCTGCCCAATATGTATTAACATGCCACAACCTGAGAGGCAATGAATGACTCAGACACACATAGAGATGCCTGCAGAGAGGAGAGAGAGACTGGACGGCACAACGCTTTAGAGAGAGATGACAAGATAGTAAGCAAAGGAGAACTGTCAGTGTAGTTTGCAGGCACAAACGTTTCAAGCGATTTAATGTTGTGACATTCTGACATGATTGGCAGGGCCGAGACATTTCACATGTTACTTGTATGCGTATGCATAGTGGCCATATGCTTAATGCTTAATGAGCCTTCAGCAGTCGAAACCAGCTGCTAAAGAAAGGTTTTTAATTTACACAGAATGTTTTTTCCTATTCCCTGTGGTGATTATAGCGTGTCTTGAATAGGAATGTGAATATGAATAAGATGTTGTATTTCATCCGTGACTTCCTATATATATATTATCATCATGTCTCCAAAGCCGGTCCGCCTCAGAGGACGCTGCTTCACTATGCTCATTTTGGAGTACTTGGGTTCTTAATGGAAATATAATGAGAACCAGGACATTGATGTGTAGAGTCTGAAAGTTGTACACAAGGACACACATCACTCAGTATGTGAGTCAGTTCTAAACAGGGAAAGACAGCGTTGCATGTATATGAGGCTCACATATACAGGCTCAACCTGCTGTCGTGTTTGGTGCTGTGAGCTTTTGCTGAAGTTGTTCTGCTCTCCGACTGATTCATTCTTTCGCGGCTCCCGTCGAGGCTATTGACATTTCTACAGTGATTCAGTTTGCTCAGTGGAGCTGAACAGAAAAAGTTAAGAACAGGCATCTTAGCTGTTCTCGAATTAAAGGCTGGTTTTTCTAATCAGAAGAATTTACCGGCATATTCGATGGCCCAAAAAAAAAAAAAAAGCCCATTAATCCATACCATAAAATCAAAAATGTGATAGTGTTACATCAGTGGTTATAACAAAACAATCGTTTTGTAAAAGAAGACGGACGTGCATTTTTCTCACAACCATGCAGTTTTAGTTACCTAAACTGTGGATGGAAATTGTGGGTTTTGTTCTAAACTGGCAGACAGAGAGACATTTAAATTGGACTTGATACTGAACCCTGCTGGATACTGGAATAGCTAAATCTGCTGCGTTTAATTAAAAATGAGTAAATACCTGCAGCCTTCGTCATTGACTTTCACTTATCATAACCCCATAACTCCAAAAGGTTGCAGAAGTGAAACTTTAGTATTATCAGGGTGGAGTATTAAACCCGGAGTAATGACTGAAGTTGGAGTAAGATTGTGTCATAATGTTTTTTGGGAATCATTTTCTGATGCTGTCTCTTTTTTCATCTTATCAGTTGTTGTTGTTTTTTCTATCTGCAAACCCAGACTGAGCAGCTCTCACTCTGGATCTAATGAAAATGCATATTTCATTACGGTGTTCTGTGAAAATATTATGAAAAACAATATTTTAGCTGCCAGTCATCCCACTTGTATTTCAACCAATCATTCACGAGTTGCAACGGGGTGAAGGGAGGAAATCACTTATTGACTTTTACAAAGGAGGAATGTCTGAATGCATGAGAGAGGAAGGCCATACACATCTTTATGCATTGTATTCTGAGAAAGACCACTTACTGTAGCATTTACATAACTCTGTTTATATTTGTATTAGGAATTTAAAAGCACAACAACTCAAGAGTATAGTGACATAAAAAAAACAACTTAAAAGCATTACTAAAAACCCAATGGAAATAGCAAACAACACATGAAAATATTCAAATCAATGGAAAGAAAGTAATTACGACATAAACATATAGTCCCCCTTGCCATTTCCCACAATTCATTGTTTTAAATTGCCTTTGTTTGGCTTTGCTCAATATGAAGTGGCAGGTTGTTCCACAAGGAGATCCAGTACAGAGAAAGAGCTTCTCACTATTGTACTTTGAACAAGGAACACTGCATGACATGATGCCGGCTCTTGTGTTGCCGGTATGTTGGCTTACGACCATGTCAATTTGACAGTTCATATGATCTGTGCCCCTTTTGTGAATTATATCAATCATATGATTAACTTGCAGTTATTTAACTTGATCTTCAACAGGTAATAATCCAACTTGCTTCATTACTGGTCCACTATGAGTCCTGGGAGGAGCATTGAGCGTGTTGCTGATAACATTATACATTGTTGAAGGGGCACTGGATTAATAAGGCAACTAAAAGTTTCTTCACCTTCATATTAATAAAAAAACAGTGAGATCTTTTTTTTAAATAATGCAGTAGAATGTTACTTGCAAGCGTTGTTGGATGCTATATGCTTTTGCACTACAAACAGTGATTATAGTCGTATAGAAAATGAATTGCAAAGCCCTTGAAAAGGTTTCATTTTCCTGTTCAACTTCTGTCATTCTTACAATTGTTAAAGTTATTTTATTCTGATTATACCTTCTCGAACAGAATACTAAGCGGTACTTTATCTTTTTTTATTGTATGTTACTAAATACTTCCAATTCATTAAGGATGTTTCTGACCTTTTTTAACACCATTTATATACTTTTAAATGACTGTGTGGATTCAGAGTTTACATGCCCATTATTATTATTATTATTATTATTATTATCAGCTTACAGAATGCATTAACATAGATTACACTACAATACTAAAAGTATATCAAGTTAGATCCACTCGACCACCTCTCTGTAAAACACTTGACTGTTATATCTATCCAGCATGGGATTTAATGGAGTCTGACTCCCTGAACATTAAACTAAACATGACGCTGTTAAAATCATGGTAATGAATGCAGGCCAGAGCGCCTCACTGTTTCCATGACTACAAAAAGTGTCCGGTTTGACGTGTCATTTTATTGTGCTGGACAGCATTCGGTTTCAGTGTTTATTTTGCTTCCCACCACTCGACATCAATGTGGTCTGCAGCAAGAAGTCACTTGTGAACTTTCAGAATGCTGTT